TACTGTGTGCATGCCCACCCACCCATTTTTTGTAGCATAATTTTGATCTGTAGGTCCTGTTACTAATGATAAAAAGTGACTTTGAAACAATATTCTGCCTACAGTGTTTTCGTATCATTAGGTAAAAGTAAAATTGATGTATTCCCACTTTATACTGGATACCGGAAACATAATAGGCAGTGCTGATAGAACTCAAATAAGTTGATTGACTGCCATGCAATTTAGCCAATGTAACTGTAAATATTAGCCTAGATACCTCTCAGACATTTGTAACCTGAAAAATGATCTGGAGAATCCTGGGTACAGTTGTTGGTGGTTACTCGAGTAAGCTGAAATAGGACTATAAATTTTCACACTACTTTTGTTATTCTTAACACAGCTCAGAGAGTTTCCTTCTTGTATTTGCTTCTGGATATACTACCTACTGTGAAAGTTTTGTTGCAAATTAAGTTGCTTTATGTGAGGAGAAGGGATAATACCCAGTGTTTGAGTTTTTTTAAACAGAGGTAGAAACTTGTTCCACTTGATTGTGGTTATCATAGTTTATTTAATGATATGTTTTCTTAATGTAAACCTTAATGGTGAGATCAAAGGCAGTTATGCTTGCTATAAATTTAACAAATATCAAATCAAAAAACACAAATCCAAAAAACCAACTTCTAGTTACAAATGCCAGGCTGAAAAAAACCTCACACCTTCTTCTCCTCGGCATGTGCTTGTCAACACACACATTCTGTACAATGTGATAAGACACTTTTAGTGAACATGTGCATGCAACCAAAATAGATTAAAGGCGTGTACTGAAATTTTTATGACAGTACAGACTAAACAATCAGGATTTTAAGGCATGATAGAAACAGGGAGGGAAAGTAATTGTGCTCATTTATTCAGTTTTAAAATGAAACAAAAATTATTACATAGCTTTCTAATTGAGAGTCAGAAATGGATCTTTTGAAATAGTAAGCATCCAAAAAAATCGAATTTAGGAATACAAGAAAAGCACTCATCTATTACTAAAAAAAAAAAAAAGTACATACAGTAGATTACCCCATTGTATTTGCATTTGTATAATTAAAGTTCCAGCAGTCAACTGCTTATTTTATAGTATCTTTAAAAACTTTATTAGGGTGTTGCTGCTCTGGCCTATAAGAATCTGGCCTTTATGTCCTTATCAATGTCTATGTAATTCCCATTGCATGGGATCCAAGTTACAGACGTGTAATAGATAACAAAACTGCCATGCAGTCAGAGTCCTGCTTTAACTAGCTACATGCAGAGCACAGCAGAGCTAGATACCTTGCTGGGATCCTGCATCATGCTCTGCTTTCCATGCAATATGCTAAGCATTCTCACATCAGTTCATAGGTGTTCTAAAGAGTGCTGAGGAAACCAACTCATTTGTGTCCTGAAAGGCTGGCGAGTCCTTATTCTTAAAGTGAGTTCTAATATATACTAGAAACCTTGTAGTTCTACAGTGTCTATTTAGCTAGCCCTAAAGGAATCTCTGTTAAGTCCTATCACTGTGCCAGATGAAAAGGCAAAAAGAAAATTTAAACACATAGCAGAAGTCGGGGTCGCTTTGCATTAACCACTGTCTCGTACTGTGTCTCTTAAAATGCAGTTTTTTGTGCTTGTTAAGCATGTAGGTGGAGATTGGATGTTGCCAAGCTGCTGTTCAAATTCCTAGTAATCATATACACGTTGTTAAAATTGCCCTTTTCCACATGCATTTGATATGTAAACTGACTGCATTGTATTAGGCTGTGAGGATGGTAGCTGGTGCTTCCCAGCAGCTGGGACAGACACTTCATGACAGTTTCCTGAATAATGTTCTGTCCTGTCTCCTGTGCTCCCCACACTCTTCTCTCCAGATCAGTCTTCTTCCCACTCCAAAGAAGGGCAGTTAGGTGATGCTGCCTAACATTCCCCTGCTGGTGACCCAGCCTAGACATGACATCAGTACTGGGGTGGAATATGTCAGCTTCCTCACGGCAGAAGGGACCACAGAGTAGGAGAAACGGAGTCGAATACTTCTCAGGGGATGGGAGGGGTGTATTACAAGTTGCACACTTTAAACAAGTGCAATGGAATCTCTTCAAACAGGCAGACAGATATTAGCTGCTTAGATTTTTATCACTTAGAGGCAGTTTGTCCCAAGTCAGGGAAGCTAAACCAAGTTTAAGAGAATATGAAAGACAGGGAAAAAGCAGATCGATCAAGCACATCAAATTCATTTAAAAAGGTCCAGCGGAAAGTGACTGGGTCTCAGAAAAACAAGGCCAGCAGCTAACACAAAATAAAGCAACCCACTGTCATAGACAGACAAAAAGCACGTGCAAGGGCTGTTATTTTAGTGCTTAAGAGCAACATCTTCATCTGTCTTTGATAACTTGCTGCTTTAGATATGCCCAGTTCTGCACCTGGCTATATGTAGCCTAAAGGCCAGCAGTCAAGAATAAAACGTGCAGAACTAGATCGTTACCTGTCTGTTCGGGTTCTTCTGCCCTGCCTTGAGGGCTACAGAAAATAGCATAAGGGCAGCAACGGTCTTAAGTCCAGGCTTCTAACTCCTGTGCTTAGGGAGTTTTAAAAAGGCCAATCAAACTGCCTTCAGAACTGCTTCGGGCCCTCTGACCAGCATAGTAAGAATGAGTTCCTGGCCCAGTACCCTTCTGTTCTATGCCACTAGAAGGGACAAGGTAGTGTTTCTTAGAGTGTTTTATGGTTTCTTCCCTTTGCCCCGTCTTTGCCAGCTGCCACTGGTGAGGGTTGGATTTCACAGGTCAGACGCATGTTAAATGAGACAGCCTGAAACTTCTGTAAGGTAACACTGATTTTTAAAAAGCAAAGCAAAAACTGAATGTTTTGGGAGACAGACAAAGGCATAATTAATAGTATTACATAATTATTGAAAAAGCATGTTCCAAGTTGCAGTTCAGTCAGGTAAAAAAAGCTACAAGAATCATCAGAGATCCTTTTAATTGTACCAACAATCGCCCACTATACACAAAATACCAAAAGATACAGGATCAATGGGTCATCAGGCATATTGACTCTCTAGTTAAGGGAACATGAAAAATTCAGAGTCCAACATCTACCTATACATCTGAAAAGCAAATAGGCAAATACAGATTCACCTAATGTAGGTAAAATTTAATGAAGTATCATTGATCACTCAGAGAATCTGATGTAAAAAAGCCACTGAGTTATGAAGCCTCTGTCCATAGTTTTGTGGGTATTAAGAGTGGTGTTTGACTTCATCAGTGGATAAGAAAGTACAACTCCTGTTCCAACTGAATGTTACTGAGTGAGCAGCTGGGGTTGCAGGGACTTTTTTATTGTTTTGACCTTTAGGCATGTGTAATATGCAAAAAGCTAAAAATTACTTAATTATATTGCATTTAAAAGTTGAAGAGATCCACCTGAAGCATAAGTTTAGCCAAGGCCACAAACTCATGTAAGTTTTAAATATACATATCTTACCGTGCCAAAGCATCTCAAGGCTTTTTATAGAAGATCTACAATACCCCTATTAAATGAATGAAAACAAGCAAGTCTTTGGTTTGAGAGGAAACAGCCAAAATATTCAGCAAGAAAGACAAGTAGCAGAGACAGAATGTCCAGAAATAGAAGAATGAAACAAGGTCAATAAAGAGTACCTAAGGCACCTTGTTTATAGTCATCTTTGCTACACTCCTTAAGACCTCCAAATAATATATAAAACTGCAAATGCTAAGGAATGTGAAGATGAAACTGCAGAGGACGCAATATGTTACTCCTATTCCTAGTTAAAATTCCCATGATCAAAGGATGTGAATAAATATATTTTTCCAAGTGATAACAAAGAGAAGAATCAGAGCTAGGAAAATGAATGAAAGGAGGAACCAGTCAGTACCATTAAGAGTATGTTCATTTGATATTCATGAATTGCAAGTCAAGATGAAGTAGAAAAGAAGGCTGGACACTGAGATGTGGATATTTGCTTTAATGTCTAGTGCATTTCTTACTGTACTATAGAAGGTGGAAATATTCCCCTTCATTTAAAATTTAAAAAAATAGGAGAGTGCAGTCTGTACTTGCAGGAACATGTGCTGTACAGCAGGAAGTGCAAAGTTGTCCTTGTAAAAAAAATATGCAAAGGAGAATCTTGAAGAGGGAAGGGAATTCAGTTCATTCTACAGTATTTTTAATCATCAACTCAGCTGAGACTTTCAAATGCAGTATGTAGTTTACTGGTAATATAGGCTACATCTGAGGGTGGGGAGAAAAGCCCATTCCTTCTTTGCCTCAGTACTAGATGGTTTGTGAAAGTGAGTCAGCAGTATTGAGTCAGTTCCCTGTTCTTCTACTAGGAAATAGAGCTTATAATTAAAGCTCTCTTTAACATAACTGGCTGACTACGTGTTTGCTGAACTGAGTGTAAGATGTTCAGTCATTTGCCAAATTTATGTTCCCTCCCTACTGCTAGCCAGAGAGAAATTCATCCCTTTGCCTACTTTTCAAGGCAAAAAAACCCCCAAAACATCAAACCCCTCTATCCATCTCAGTCTCTGGCCTTATTTGAATATTATTTCATTTATACACACTTCTAAAAGTTTCAGAACACCATGAGAGACTGGAAGGAGAAATCACCAAGAAATCGGTAGGTTTCCAAATATGTGCAGCAGAACAGGAAGTCAGGTTAGCTCAACACCTCAGGGGATATAAATACTTGTAAGTTTTTTCACATAGTTTGGAAATATTGAACTAAAGTCTGCAATAGCCAGAAGCCCAGTTACATTTTAATGCATATTAATTAAAAACTGTACAACAGCATTTAGTGTTCATGAAGACGACTGTTACACTTTTGGCATTTTTAGGAAAGAATATCAAGCTTTAAAGTAGAATAAGACTGTACTGTCTTTCGGACCTAGATTACACTGAGAATTTGTGCTCGCAAAGTACAAAAAACCACAAACGTGTTCCTGGTTGTCTGCTTTTACCTCGCGTTCTCCCCTCAGGTATGGCCCATCTCCTGTTCCCTCGGAGCTACCTTTGGCTATATGGCTGGTCTGATTATTGCACCGCTGTGGATACACTGGAACCGGAAGCAGCTTACATACAAAAGCAGATAACTGGAGCAAAGAGAGGCAAGGTATTTCTTTGTGCAGATTCCATACAGACTGTGCAAAAATTGTTGTTTTTATAAGATATATATATATATATATGTGTGTATAGTCAAAGCAGAAGACTATCCAAATTAATTTAGAGTATTTCAGGCCAAGCATCTCCACTCAATAAAATCACGTAGATGCCGTTTCAACATGGTGCAGTTTTTGCTTCCTCTAGACTATGTAACCCTGAGAGATTGTACCTTCCAGTCTGAATAAAATATTTGTAACAGATGTGGTGGCTTCTTATTACAAGTTCATTGCGTGTGATCTTATTCCTCTGGATTTCACTGGTTGTAGAAGGCAGAATCATAGTTTTAGCTTTCAAACCTGTAACAAGTTCACTGTGTACTTAATGCATTGTATTTAAATTCAGTAGAATTTCACAGTAAGCCTGGCCATTGTCAAATGTATCTCACGTGATCAAACAGCAGTTTATGCATCTTGAGCCTATTGTCTTCTTCACTGTGTGTTTCTTTGGAGTTAGAATGGCTATAATAGCTTCATCAAAAACCGTCTTCAGTCCTTTCTGTGTTAAAGCTGAACACTCCACATAGCAGTAGGCTCCTATCTGTCAAGAAAATAAGTTAATTCAATAGCAATGTATTTCAGCTGTTCAGTTCTATCTGTGCACTTCCACATTATTATTTTTTTTTTTCTGTAGTGACATCACTATGTTTGGCTGTGATCTAGAATTTTATCTGAATGTGCTTCCCCCTGTAGGAGAAAAGAAGATTTGTCTTTTGGCCAAAGATCTGGGCTGTATTTAAGTTGGTTTGGTTTACAAAGGAGGCATATTAAATAAGCTCTTTGGATTGGCAGTGGGGTCCTATGATATTTTTGATAATTAAACAGCAAAAAAGAATTACAGAATTACATGATCAATTTATGTTTGAGTGTCCTGATAAGCATAATCCACAGTGTGTGTTAAAATGGTAATATAGCATTCTCAAATAATTTCTTAAAGATGCTTCCAACATTTTGCTTGAGGAGAGGTCCATTCCAACCTCAACCACTCTGTGATTTTAATTCTCTGTGACTAATGTTTATGTAGTTTTTATGAGTGTCTACACAGAAAGTTACAATGATTGCTAGCAGGGAAGTGCTATTACACAGATCTGCTTGTTAGTTGTATTCAACAATGTAAGTAAATATTGCTAATTGATAACCAGTCATAAGGCTTCATATGTTGACTGGTAAAAGAAAAGGGCAGAGTGGTAAAGGCAGAAAAAGTCAATTGGAAATATGTTATTTTTGCTTCTTTGCTACTTGGTTTCATTTAGGAGTATCCAGTTTATTACCTCTTTCGCCAGCTTCTGTCCCTGCTCCACAGATATGGGCTTCTCTTTCATATCATTCAGCCTTGCCAGAGTTTTTGGGTCATCACGAAGATCAATCTAGCAAGAAAGATTGCAGTCATGTTGGAATACTTTTTCTAAACAAAAGTCAGCAGGCTATATGATACCCTCTTTTTAAAGCAGAATTATTTATTTAATGGAGTATTACATGTGTAAAAATACAGTCACGTCATGATTCAGATTGTGGACCCTTCCTATCCAAAAGCCCTGGAAATTTAAGCTGTGAGCTACTACCTTTAATCCAGAAGGGACAAATGTTTATTCGGTAATTCAGCTCTTAATTAGATGTGATCATTTCAGAATACCAGAATGTATGTTCAGCGCTGGCAGAAGGATTAACCTAAACATAATACCAACACGTGGGTCATTTTATAATTGAAGCCCAGGCCGATGCCCACAGGAAGCAAGAGGAACTTGTCTCACTTCTGCCCTTGCTCCTTTGCTTCAGCAGAAGTTGGATGTGACCAATAGCTGCAGACCCAAGTAATTCTAATAACATGGGTGTGAACAGACAATTTTATTCCTTAAGTCACATGACTTTATAGAAAGTCACATGGAGAGATGCAGCCAGTCTTGCCACTCTGTTATAATGCATTTATGGTAACAAAATGGAGGTAGCTTATTAGAGAACAACACACATCTAGGTTCTTCTGCCACTTGTTAGGGTCGTTCCTCCAAAGCCAGAAGGAGATGCTGCTCCAGTCCTGCCGGGCCTGAACTCCCAGCCCAAAGAAAAGGCACCATACAAGGATCTGAATTGTTTAAATAAAGTAGAAGAGAAGCAGATATACCTGTGTTCCTACTAGTAAAAAGGGAACATTAGGTGCATATTCCTTCAACTCTGGTACCCACTCTTCCTTCACATTTTGAAATGAAGCAGGGTTTACCACTGAGAAGCAGATAAGGAAGACATCGGTCATAGGATAAGATAAAGGTCTCAGACGATCATAGTCTTCCTGAGAAAGAAAAATTCCGTTATCTGCAATATTCTTGCATGTATTTTGTTAATTTCAACAGTTATATTCAGAAACTATTCATATTTCAGGAATTTTGTTGAAGCAAAATTTCTGAATGTTTACAGCTATTCCAGGTTAGTCAGTGTGGTTGTTAGAGCAAAATCTACATAGGAGGGTAATATAAATATTTAAAAAACCCTGTGTGTTAATACTGATAGCAACTTACTTCTGTACAAGAATATACAGAAGACTACCCTTTAAGAAGTTTTCACTTAAAGGAAAAAAACAATGTACAGTTCAAACATACTTGCAAATCAAAGGTATAGCATTTTTTTGATCAAGAACACTATGAGGGGAACACTAATGCCCTCTGGGGGGGCGGGGGCAGAGGGGAGGTAGTGCCAAAAGATGATTATTTGGGTCATTTAGAATCACAGCATTTAAAGCCACCAGTCCTACTGCCAGCGCATACAATACCCCAGCAACAGAGGTCCCCAAGAGCATTGTCCCTGTTGTAAAACACAGTTCTCTCTGTCAGGAGAGAAAGTGGATTTTGACATATTTTTTAGCTAAGAGCAGGCGGGAACATGCACCAGCTTCTCTCTGCAGGGCTTCCTGTGGTCTGTGGCAGTGAACCAACGCCCCACCATTCCTACCTTGGGCTTTTTTTTTGCTTTTAACACAGATAACTGAGACTGAGCCCAGGCATTGCAGAGACAGCAAAGAATGCTGGGTGTAGTAGGGCTTCTCTTCCACAATAAACACCAGTTTGTTATGGATGCTGCAGCAGCCTCCCTCATACCCATGCAAGCTCTCCACCTTAATTAAATCTCACAAATATTGGAACGATTTGTTCATTAAATGTAGAGACAGAAATGTAATTCAACTCCATGTTTTAAACAAGCCAGAAAATTAAATTTTCGTTTCCTTGGCAACTGTCACATTACCAGGTTATTAACCTATAGCTGCACCCTCAAAAAAGCCCTTCATTGATTAGTTGTGAAGTTTTAAAGATGGTGTCACTAGAATTTCAGAAAACATGTGAGAACTTTTGTTTCTGCTGGATGCAGCTTTTCATTTGGAAGTCAACAGCTACAGCAAGAGGGCCGTTGCCCTCATCCCGAAACGCAGGAAAGACAAGCACTGGAGGAGATTCTGCCCAAGCAAGGAGGCCCGTTGGGCAGTACTCTGCAGTGTCTGTCTGCAGAATATTCTTATTTGTAATCACTATTCTCATCTGCCATTTTGATTATACGCTCTACTGCCAGTCTTGTACACTCAACAGTTCTCTCAATAAGCTAGAGCATGCTTAGCTGTAAACATGGGCCCCCAATTTCACAGCCACCGTAACTGAAGCTACTGTGAAACTACAACATATGACAGGCCTTTCTGAAGATCAGTTGTTTCCCTGCTAGTGTCAGGCTCCTACCCTGTTTCAAAAGAAAAAAACTAGTAACCATGTCTTCTCCACGCTGCGGACGTTCATCAGAGAAGGCAGAAAGAACTTAAAAAAAAATCACAACAGCAAGTTGAAACTATTTGTCATTCAATTCTTTTTTTAAGCATGTATTTTATGTTTCACTTCTACTACTGAATGTAGTTAGATCCTGCTCAGGGTTGCCACTCTGTTTTTTAGGGTGGAGATCAAAATCCTAAAAGAAGCTTCCCAACTGCAAATTACACTGGTCCCTGGAGTACAAAATCTGCATGCAAGAACACGCAGGCAGATCCGTCAGCTGCTCTCAAATTCAGCCTACTAAATCATATGCAGGGTATTACTGAAAGGGTTTTATTAAAAAAAAAAAATTAAAGTTGTAATTTATTCCTACTATCAGGGAGTTGCCTTCACTACACTCAACATTTTCCAAAAATCTCACATGTAAGTTACAATAATTAGAGGACTGTCTGCATTAAATATTGGAATGGAGAAACATTTCATTGTCACCAGAAATTACTGTTAGTCCATTGACCTTAAAATACCTCTTAGTTAATCCATTTCAAATCACAGATGGACCTTTTATTCATAGCAAATACTAATAATTTTCTGATCCCAAAGCCAAGTTACATTTGCATGGTTTGCTTCAAAACTTTCTGTATTGGGTTTGCATGGCAAGGTTTTGCTAGCAGGGGGGGACATGGGGTGGCTTCTGTGAGAGAAGCTGCCAGAAGCTTCCCCCATGTCCAACCCGATACAGACATGTCTGACACAGCCAATGCCACCAGCTCCAAGATGGACCCGCCACTGGCCAAGGCCGAGCCCATCAGTAACGGCTCATAACATAAGAAAAGCAAAAAAAAGGAAGAGAGAAAAAAAAAAAAGCTGCACACTTTGCAGCAGGAGGGAGGAGTGAGAAGATGTGAGAGAAACAATCCTTGCAGACACCAAGGTCGGTGAAGAAGGAAGGGAAGGAGGTGCTCCAGGTGCTGGAGCAGAGATTCCCCTGAAACTTGTGGTGCAGACCATGGTGAGGCAGGCTGTCCCCCTGCAGCCCAGGGAGGTCCATGGTGGAGCAGATGTCCACCTGTAGCCTGACCACTCTATCACTCCCTCTCCTCAACTGTGCCACTGGGGGGAGGAGGTGGAAAATCGGGAAAGAAATTAAGCCCGGGAAGAAGGGATGGATGGAGGAGGTGTTTTAAGATTTGGTCTTACTTCTCATTATCCTCTGATTTTGATTGGTAATAAATTAAATTTGCTTTTTCCCCCAAGTCGAGTCTGTTTTGCCCGTGCCAGTAACTGGTGAGTGATCTCTCTCCGTCCTTATCTCCACCCATGAGCCTTTTGTTATATTTTTCTGCCCCTGCCCATTTGAGGAGGGGGAGTGATAGAGTGGGCTTTGGTGGGCATCTGGCATCTAGCCAGGGTCAACCCAACACATTCATATTTAGTTTATCTTTTTAAATCCCAGTAGACAGAAATCCTTGTCTATTTAGCCATGTCTTGATACTGCACCTTACTTCTCAAGTATTCATCAGCAGTCATCTGGGAGCGAGCAACGTTACCGCTTTTTAAGGCGTGTGTGCGTTGCTGGACTCTTTTCCTCTCCCTCCATCTATTTATATGCCTTTTGATTTATACTCTGTCCCATCTGCACTGGGCAAGCTGTGGGTCCATCATGTGTAATTAAGAAGTTAAACTGAAGGCAAGTACAGTGAGTGTGCTTGGATATATCATGTACCACGTAAAAAGATGTACGTGGTATTCACTACAGTGACTTCACTGCATTTATGCTTACTTAAATTAACAGAGAATTTGGCTGTAGCCACCAATCCTGCTGCTTGAAACAAATCAGTGCTGTCAGGCTCTTCTCTGAACCTTGTCTGCGCTAAAAAAAAATAGGTTTGTATTGATACTAATAATAGTAGGTAATTCTTATAAAGTCTCATGATTAGACTGGTCCTGGGTCCTCCTAAGAGAGCCCCTGGCTTAAATCTTACCAGCACCTAGTAAGTCATCTGTGCTTAAAGACTCCTCCTGCTCCCCACCAGCCCTTCAGAAACAGCAATCAAACCTGAAAACTTTCTCTGAGGTATCGGGCCTAAATAACTGCTGCACTTGGTAGAAGAATGTGAAATACCAAATGAATTTAGACTGAATAATAGCGAAGCCTGGAAAAATTCTGATTGCTTCAAATATAATTTGCTTCCTGAATCTAGTGTAAGGGAAATAAATGTGGTTTATTCTAAAATTAAATGCAATGGCAAAATTTAATTATACTAGCCAGTCAACATAAATTCCAATTTGGGCGCATGTACACACCACACTGTACAGCAATTAAGACTTCCATCCATGTATATTTAGGCATTAAAAATATTTAAAGAATTTAACTGGAATATTTTAAGAATGTGAATAAGATGATCCTTTGAGCCACCAAGGATCAAAATGTGCCGTACAAGTCTCAAAAACTCCAGGCTGTAATAGTGAACTGGCTCATTCTCCAACATACTCTGGACTTCAAAACAAAATTGTTCACTGTTTGCTGAAGCAGATGAATACAGATAGAAAAATATGCTGAAAATATAAGAGTTGTAATAACTTTGAACAAACTGGACGCAAGTCTGTTGGCTTAATTAATGTTATATGGAGCTGCGATCCCTATTAAAGATACTACATTGCAGCTGGACCATCCATCATTTATCTAGTATCTCTGTGGTAACCCAGGACAGCTGCCAGTAGAAAACAGACATGGGAAAGGAGATGAGATGGAGGAACTAATGACCTGGCTTCTCAACTACAAACTGGGAAGGACTGGTATGGTTTTTGTTTTGTTTTTAAGAGCAGAGAATGGAAATTCATACTTCTACATTTTCATTTTGCCTTAGTTTTGATATTCTGCAGGTATACCTAGCATTGCCTTTATCTTAGCTCCTTAAAATCTTTCCTTTAGTTCTCTTTTTCCATGTTACAGTACCTAATAACCTGCCTCTGAGATTTCCTGCTCTGTACTTGAATACTGATTTTCACTGGCTATTTCTTTTCCTGACATTTACCTGGTCAAAAACAGAGGCCTTGAGGATCTTTTGGATGCAGACTGAAGAATGGTATTAGAACTCTGCAGCATTCTATTCTTCTTCATTTCAAGGGTTGGCTCAGACTAAAAGCAGGATGCAGTGCCATATTTCAAGTCGTACAATTGATTTTGAACTAATACTTTTGCCCAGTTCCATGGATATCAGCTGAGACGTAGTTAAGAACACACAAACTGTATTCCTAACTCTGCCACTGACACAATATGTTGCCCTGAGCAAATTATTATCCTCTCTCTACTTGCATCTTCCCACCCGTAGGGGTTTGTTAGCTCAATAATGCATTAGTCTTTGCAAAGCATTCCAAAAGCCCTTTGATGTACGTAGCTTATGTGCAGTGGGATATTTAAAAAAAAAAAATAAATTAAGACAAACTTTAATAATTTCTGGACAAACTTTCTGAATGACAAAAAGCATTATTTCCTTGTGTTTATTAGGAAACTGAAGTAAGAGGTGCAGGCATACTGAGA